TGGGTAAGGCCCAAGGTGAGGGTGTCAAGATTAAAGAGGTACCTGTCAAAGCTACAGGGGCTATTAAAGGAATAAGCTGTTACTAAGAGAGGGAGAAAAATATTTTGAAAAGTGTGATTGCTATAGTGACTTCATCTCCTTATAACTGCCTATTTTAGTCAGAGCACATTTGGTTATCATTAAAAGGTCTAAATACAAGCAAACACACATTTACACACTGTTGCCCTTTGACCTGTCCTCTTGTTAATTGTGTCTCTCATCTCAACCTGCCTCTGCTCTGTCCCGGGGCTAAACGAGGTATCTTATACAAACAGCATCACTCCACAAACCCAGGAACGGGACCACTGAGGGGGTCACGAGGTTATGGACGGAATGTAAAACCTTTATAAACATCTCGTAGTGCCATATACTGCCTTTAATCTGTGTGATGGACGTTACAATCTTAAAACAAAAGGGCGACAAACAATGGATTGAGCACATAAAGGGGCATGTGAATAGGAGGATCCGTATTTTTAAGCAAAACTGGTAGATGGACAAGGTTTATATTGATACATAGAGGGGAAAACTGCATTAGTAGACGCAAAACGTTTTTGTTTTATTTTATTCTAGGACAGGAGAGACATTGGTCTGTGTGAGTCGACCAGTCAGCACTGGTTCTTTGTGATGAGTTAACGTTATGAATTAATAAAAACATGTAGTGATTTGCCATTTGTTATCTTACCCTTAAAACAAACACTTAATGGCTAAATAGCTCTTTATTTAAGAGAGACAATTTAGCTCTCATGAGGATGCAAGTACATTACGTGCATGCACACACACACGAGGGATCAATATAGCCCAGAGCAGTGTTGAGTACTGGATCTAACCCACATAATCATCTGTAATCTCGGACATCAAATCCTGCAGAGACACGTTTGAGGGCTGACAACAAGCTCAAAGCGTTTAATAGCCACCACAACTTTCCACACATATAGAGCACTGACGCTAAAAAGGAGAATTGCAACCGTGAACCATAAGCACTCAGTCAGAGAGCTATAAGAGGTATGGAAGGTATATTCCCTTCAAACATTGGTTCGGTGCTCAAAGGACCACAGGCTGAATGGTGTCCCTTAACTTGCAATCCTCAATGTCCCTGGTTATCTGATTAACTAAATAAAACAGTAGACTAGTTGAACTACAGGCAAGGTAGGAAGAGCCAAATTCAGGCCAAAGACTGTAACATTGTTAGTCTGGGCCTAATCTATTTTCATAGAATGAGAAGAAACTGGGCTCTTACAGTATTACAAGCCACAAGTTATAGCGTCATGTTGACTATAATACTCTTCTAAACAGCCTAACTAGGTACTCATGGCTCCATATATTACCATGAGAAAACACACGGCTGCTCATGACCACACTCCTGCTTAACTCAATGTACCTGGCTGGACAGTAAGCATAGAAGTACACAATATATTTGCTGAAGGGTGATTATATTAGTAGTTTTATATTTTGAAGTAAGCAAACAGACCAGTCGTGGCTGGGGATTAGTGGTGTTGTTTGCCTTCCATGCCAGAAAAATGAATTTCTGATCACTCCCTCTCTTCTTTTGATGTGAGAAGCTTTTCTAGGTTTCTTTGTCTAACCCAAATAGACTAAATTAATTTCTTTCTTTTTTTGTTTTCCCCAGTGTGTTTTGGCATTTGGAAACTTAAGCCACAAAGTGATCCTTCATGGGACAAGCCCACACCCAGGCCAGCTAAACATAATGCACCTCGCCTTCATGGTTGATTACAGTAAAGATCTGTGTGACGTCACACTCAGCTGAGGACAAAGCCAACTGGTTTCTCCCAGACAGAGAGGCGGGGGGTGGCTGTCAGAGCAACGCAAGGACAAGCAAGAGAGAGAGAGAAAAATGAGGAGTTATTGCAGATGCATTTGCTGCGGCAATGCGTGTGTGGTGTGTGACAAAATCTTCTATTTACATGCATGTGAGACAACTAATGGATTCCCATATGCACGTGTGCTGTAGGGTGAGTGTGACGGAGTACGCTTGTGCCTAATGTGTATGTCAATGCCATCCTGCCCTGCTTCTTGGGATAATGGGAGGCAGTGCACTGCAGCTCAGCATAATAACACTGTAATAACTGACTCTACTCTAACTCTTTATATATTTGATATACACTGTAACCAGGCTTTAGTGCCAACATCAATGCTCACTTCACTGCATGATGCAATGCAACTCCCAAATGCAATCCAAGGGAACTACGCCCACTGCACTCAGTGCCATCCCCTCTCCTGTAACAGTGATCATCATCCCTTCATCCCCTGAGTTATAGACATAATCTCACAGATATATATTTAAACATAGATATAAATATATGGTAGTGCTGGTTGATCCCTCCCTGTTGCACAGCCCATATGCACAATGCCAGGAGGGCATGAGTGTGCACTTATAATAATCAATTTACACATGCATTTTGATTACACACAAACCTATGGTGTCATAAATATATTAGGCCTCTATCACTTTGTCTCTATCCACCGCAGACTGCATGCATGCACGCGCGCGCGCGCACACACACACACACACACACACACACACACACACACACACACACACACACACACATAAAGAAAGACTGAGCAAGGCAGACAAAGCAGGGAACGCCCCCTGCAAGCTACTGTCAAGTCATCAACTGGATTAGGCTGGATTCCTATCATTCTTTACTCTGATTAATGAAGAAAATGATGACTGTGACAACCTGCACGTTCAGAGTTAACTAACTGCTAACATTTAACTGCAAGCTTCAAGGAACCATAAAACAAACCGACACCTTTTTTCCCCCATATATCCATCCATCATTAAAGTGCACACAATGCAGGAGATGAAGAGATAAGCTAGCAAGCCACATTTCAAGATCTTGAAGCCTACTCACCTAACAATAAAAGTAGACTCCGGAGGAAGAACACAGCCTGGCAAAGTCGTTTGGGAGTTTGGCCTTTTTGTTATCTCTCGTGCTGACTGCTGCGTTGTCGCATTCCAGGTAGCTAAGGTAGCGAAAATCGACTTCGATGCTAAAAGCCGTGAGCAACCTTGGCTGGGATTCTTGGAGTGTTAAAATAATCGTACAGATTCAGTCTCACCCTCCCACTCTTTCTTGCCACATAGCTCGCTTGTTCTCTGACCACGTCCCTTCCTCTCTGTCTTTTTTTTGTGCTCGCAGCTGTTTTCGTTGTTTCAACCTTTGCCTGAAATGTCTCCTGTCCCTTTAAACGACAACGTTTCCGGGGTTTGCTGGTTAATATATAGGAGGCGGGGCTTCACGGCCAGCTGAGCGCCTGTCATTTAAGCGATTGGCCACTTATTCTCCTTCGTAACCAATCATCATTCAGGGATTATGCCTTCTTTAAAACATGCAGATATATTCACAAATACTGCTCCGTGATTGGATTATGAAATAATTCAAGAAACGCCCAGTACACGTGCTTTTTTCTAACCTCCCATTTTTTAGTGCAAAGGGTGACTGTTGTTCTAGAGCTCCGACTGTCAAAACATCCTAATATTTTACAGAAAAATACAACAAACCATGGTCTGATATCAAAACAAATACTTTATACAGTCATACATCACTGACATCGACATCTGGTAATTATGGTTTATTGCAACTGTTAAGATGTACAGATGGTAACCCCATTTTCTTTTTCAGTTCGTAGTGAATCAGCCATAGCCGCGTTGTCACATAGCTAAGAATAGATGGGCTACACGTTGTATACCCAGATTGCCTTGCAGCTGCACTGAGCTCCACGCCCATCCAACCAGAGCACACTGGGGCCTGATTATACCTTACCACTGAGAGGAGGAGGTCTTAACTGATGAGAGAAAGGCCAATTGTGAGCTCAGGAGTGGAATATTTACTACATTCCCTGCTCTTGGCCACCTCTCTCTTTGTGCTGATGTTCCTCTGTTGCGATACAAAACGCTGTGCAAATAGTAATAGTCATCGCAAAAGGACCTCTGTGTATTTGTTGGTATTCTTGATCGCTTATTCTGCATTATAAAAGTAATTCATTCATGGATCAATTTAAGAGAGTAGTAGAGCATGCATGCATGCAGACCAAAGTTGGATTTTAAGGCTTAATATGGCCACTGCCCAATGTAACATGGGTGAAAATATGAGGTGGCAACTCAAATTAGCTTGAGATGTCAAGTTAAACGAATATTTTACCCAACAAGAAATGGCCTGAAGAGTGTTAGCGTCCCTACACACCACTAACACTCACTTCTTTATTTCTATAATGAAGGATTGGAAAATAGGTGGAGCTATCTATTTTTAGAGAGCACTGCTCCTACAATGCTGATTCTATTGACACAAACGTTTTATTAACACTGTCCTGTCACATCTTGTCTCAAAGTGGCAAATGTTTGCATACTCTTAACATGATCTGAAAGAGGAAATGAAAGCGCTTCATTTGGTTGTACAAGTTCTCTCCAAAAAAAACACACAAAGACTACACAATAACTGCTGCTCTAATGATGTGTAGTGCAATTTTGGATTGTTTGCAGAGTAGCATTGATAGGTCAGAATTTGGGGCAGAGACCAAACCAAAAACACTTATTCAATGATGCCGTCTTTCTTTGCCCCATACGGACGAATGTCCTTCAAATGGATAATACATTTAAGGTTTTACCAAGTTGTGATCTAAATGTTGGCCTCAACAGCCTGCCTTCATGTTATCAGACAGCCTTTGTTACTCGAGTGGCTGGCGCCCCCTGCTGTTCGCTTGGCAGAACAGTCTTGTTATCTTCTCAAAAAGCTGTAGTCAAACTAGTAACTTACTGATCATAATAGACAAATACTGAATAATAAAAATCTCTCTCTTTTGTACCTTTGATTGGAGTCACTGACTTAAAGCTGATTAAACGGAGCACGTCAGTGACCAACTGAGAGGGAACATCAATTTGGTTTAAATCTTTGAGTGTGGAGTGAGTGTACACATTTCAATTGATAAATTATCTGTCGTGAAGTTGGACCATGCAGTTTTTATACAAAATGCAATTAAGAAATACATCCAAGCAGCAATGCCTGATATACTAAGTTAATATCTATACTGCATACTTTCCCAATTATGTTATACATAAGGTTACATACAATGTGCCATTAGCAAACACTACTGTTTGGTTAGGAACTACAGCAGGGTGTCTAGTCAGCCTGAGCATTTCTACAGAGTGCAACTCCTCAGAAACACAGTATAAAATCTCATTCACATCTTGTAAACTATATACATCCCTCCATTCAGTTCTCACACAACATAATCAGTTTTAAGTGCTGTCAGAATTTGTCAGCTGTTCAGTCGTTTTGGCTTTCTTTGCCCCCCCCCCGTGTCGTGATCCTTCTTCTTCCTCTTCCGTCTGTTTGTCTGTCCTTCCTCCTGTCTGAATTGGTGTCTGTTGAAAAGAAGTCTCATTTGAATGCAAAGACCAGTGAAGTTTATCTACCGAGCTGTAAAATAACCATTATGGGCCTTTTTAACGTTTAGCCAGGGACACCAGATGAAAATGAGCCTTTACAGATCATAAAGCTTTCAGCAGTCTTGATTAGCTGGAAGGTAACCATCAGCCAACAGCTCCTTGCCGATAAAAAGTCTTTATTTTACATTCTAAGAATAACAGGTTGACCCATCTCCGCTCTCAAATGAGTCATGTAATCGGACACAGGATATCAAACATTAACTTAAGACCTACATGTGTGTAAAAAGGGATGGAGTGAGAGGAGTCTTGCTTTCTAATCGTTGCATGTTAGTAGCAGGTGTAGAGTGTCGAGATCTCACCTGGACTGCCAGCGCCGACCACTGTTCCACACTCGACCAAAGGAGGGAAGCCAGTTGGCGTCTGTGTGCGAGCTGTGATCAAAGGTGGCGCCCACTCTGTTCGGTGGAAGTTTCTTCAGCTTCTCTTGCTCCTCTGCCAAAGCATACGAGGCCATTTGAATTATACTCCAATACTTCTGAGTTTTATTGATTTGTCCTTTAGTGTACATACACAACCAATAAAACATAGTTGCTCGTGGAAACTATCATCAAGGCCAGAACATTTATTTGAGCAAACTGCTCAGCTGACAGCTAATTTAAATAACATGCTTAGAAATGTGTGTGTGTGTGTGAGATTCCTACTCTGTTTGAGGAACTCTTGGAGCGATGGACCGATCTCTGGATGTGCTGCAGAGGTTCCCTCCAGAGGATCCTGCTGGAGCCAAGGAGGTAAGGCACCTACGACACACAATGGCTTTATGCTTATTCTTCATCAATCACATGCAACAGGTGAACAGATCTCAGAACTGTTAGAGACACAAGCTGAGATATTTCTATAAACACTAAATATACATCCAGCAAACCCAACAAAACCAGACGAGAGACTGATCTGGAAAACAGATGGAATGAACTTTTAGAGCTAAACTAAATTAAATTTAGTAAAGATTTTTCTAATATGGTAACGATATATTTTTTAAAGGACAAATAATTATAATTATTTGAAATAGTATGAATAGAAAAATCACACCCCACTGCTGACAACATTGATAATTGGATTATCAAATTCTATATCAATGCCCAAGAAAATAAAGAGTTGAAATACAATAAAAGTACTAACATATTTCATATATAAATATGTATACATAATAATAGTTATATCGCCCAAATCAGATACATTTCCCCCCCTGTATTCTGCAGATACATCACCATTAAATAAATCCATGCATCACTGTACCTGTATGTACATTTCCAGTGTTTGAATCCTGTAACAGACAAACCAAGTGATTAACTGAGGTGATCGCATTTGTGTGAAAAAAACAACAAAAACAATTCATTATTAAACTTGAACACTTTCTCAATGAGAGCTGTCCGTCTACCTGGTAGCCTATGAAAGTCAGGCCTTGTCCTGCTGCGGCCAGCGGTGATTTGACCATTGACTCGACAAAGCTGCTCCCGGCCTGATGGTCGGAACCCTGAGGCGTAAACTGAGAGCTGTTCCCGAGACAACAAGATGAGTTCCAAAACAACAAAAGCAATCTCAAGTGCTATCGATGATGATACGACGCAAAAAAAAAAAGGACGAAATGTGGTAGGTGGACACAGTGTTACCTGACAGCATCCTCAGCAGACACGTCTGTGCCGTTGGGTCCGTTGAACAACTCCGGCTCTGCGTCATGCTGATATTGATTCAGGAAAAGCCAACAGTGGTTCATAGAGGAAGTCGGAGCACCAATCATGCTTCATCTCAGCTTTTATCATCACAACCCACACACACTTTGGCCACAATGTTAACATCAACTAGGAAGTAAAAAGCTTTTTAGGATTTATACTATAACCTGATGAGGAAAGTTTCTTTCTCTCTAAACCACCAAATAGAAGATTTTCAGCAGCCACAATGTTAAGAGTTAAACAGGAACTCCAGAGGATCATTGGTTAACTAGCTTGGCAGTTACAATAATTTTGCCATTTCCCATAATTGATGTTACTCAAAATCATTTCATCATAACAACAACAGTCAAGGCCACAGTGATGGATACTGCCACTGCATCCTTGGAAAACAAACCTCTAAAAGAGACTGAAAGACCTCTTGACGATGCTTTTCCTGGGCCCGGATTTTATCAGCTTGCTGCAGCCATGAAAAGAAAAACAAGACAAACAACTGATTACTAAAGGCAGATTTCCAGTCTGGTTAAAAAAAACACTCCTTTAGACATTTTTTTTAGCCGTAGCATGGCAGTAAACTCTTAGTCTTGCTAAGTTAAAGTGATAATAGAGTGATTTTGCATTACCTGTTTTAAGAATTCATCCTCCTCCTCCACAAACGACTCCAATGCTTTCTCCACCTCAGCTTTAAACCTAAACAAAAACAAACACTTAACCTTGCAAAAAATCTTAACTAAAATAGATTTTTGGCACACTAAGCCTACCTCTCAGTTTCCTCCTCTGTGATGATGACTTTGTCTCTAAACTTGGGGTCCGCCTTATTCTCCCACCAGAACTTGTGAGTATTCTTCCTGTGTTCTGGGCTAAAACCAAGAAAATGCAGTTCATCACAAATACTCATTAAGTCTCAAGTCAAACCTTTTTTTTAAATAAATATGGCAGCCAATATAAATGAGTAAATGTCTTGCTGAGCTTTCCCACTTTGAACTTTTGTGGGATACATGTGCAGTCACAATAACAAACAACTTCTATAGTGCTTCCGTTTGCTGAGGTTACAATTTAAACCCCTGGGTGCCCTGTGAAGCAGGGCATCAGTGAGAAATAAACTAAACTAAATAAAAGTCATTTAAATAAAACGTACGTGGCCATGTGTTCCAACAAGCCTCCATACAGCACAGTCATGTTACCGTCTGTCACATTTCTTTCAACTTCACGCCCACAGCAGTAGCACCAGAATGTCTTCTTCTGCTGAGTGCAATCAAACTTCTCTACTTGAGGTTTTTTAAGTGTTTGGCGAGCTTCTTTCACCTAGGACACGATGGATAAAACGAATACAGGAAACATACAAGTTACACTCTAACTAAAATTGATGCTGTTCGCTAGCAGAAGCTATGAACCATGAAAACCAAAAGCTAGGAATCGGTGTTAGTCTAACGTTAGCTTCAGGGCTAACATTAGCACGTTATTAATAAGTCAAGTGCAGCAAGGTGGAAGATAAATGAGCGCGAATACTCAAATTGTTATAGCTTTATATCCATATGAATAAACTCACAATAACCTAACTACTTACCTTTTCTAAGAATTTAAGAAGAACCACTCTAAGTCTGCTTTGGTGGTTTTTCCCGAAGTTATGTCCCTTCCCGGTGAATGTTGTTTGCTTGCATATAGCACAATAATATGCACCCATTTAGACCGTTTGTTAAAAAAAAAACTAAAAAAAACTAAAATATGCTTGATCTGAAATGATGCTTCATTCCAAATCCAACTACAGCGGCAAAACAAAAAAACACTTATAACTTGCTACAGGAAGTAATGCCGTCTCAAAAATGTTTCCCCCCCCGGAAGCAGACCGGATGTGGTACTGTTGTTAAATTGTTCCGATCCTCATGCTAATTAATAATTTGAGAAAGTGTTTATCGGTGTTTTTGGTCTACGCTGCGTCCCAGGATGAATTATCTGAATAGTTGATTAGAAATGTCTACAATACAATGTTTGAGGAAGTTTGTCGTCGAGCGACTGACTGCTGCTGCTGAAGAAATATTCATAGTTTTTGAAAAAACTATAGTGGAGTATGAGGAAGAGATCGATCGTCAGCACGGACTGCTGGATAACGTTTGGAAACCCGAGTCACTCGAGAAAGGTGTGTAACGTTGGAACTTAATTGTTTTAATAACACAAAACAGGAGTAATACATGCATATACTCCCAGTTGTTTATTATATACTGGTACTAATTTGCAGATATAAAGGCATACCAGTAGATGGGTCTGTAAATCCTCAATGAATTTTAATCAAAACTTCTCTATTGGTTCATGCATTACATTACATTTATTTAGCTGACGCTTTTATCCAACGTGACTTACAATAAGTGCACTAGACCATGTGGGTACCATCCGGAAAAGTGCAAGTATATATTTTATTATTTTTGTTTTATGGGCCAAAGTGCAGTCTGAACTTTTTACATTACAATTGTAATCTACTTATGTCATTTATTTCTCTAGAGTTTCCACAACCAAATATCTGTAAGGAGGAGGAGGTTCTCTCGGACCAGCAGCTCTGTATTCAGGAGAGGAACTCCAGTCTGGACCAAGAGGACCCAGATCCTCCACAGATTAAAGAGGAACAGGAGGAACCCTGCACCAGTCAGGAGGGAGAGCAGCTTGAGCGGAAGCAGGAGACTGAGACCTTCATGTTGACTCCTACTTATGAAAACAGTGACCATGGTGAAGCTCAGACTCTGTACTTGAATCCTGATGAAACTCTAAATGCAGCAGAAAAAGAGTCTGTAGTCAACATAATTAACCAGTCTGTGGTATCAGAACCAAACAGCTACATACAGATCCTCCAACGTAACTCTCACGTAGCTCATCAGGAAGGAGGCAAGCATGGAGACAAAAGAAGAAATAACTGTAATAAGCACACAGGTAAAAAGTCTTTAAAATGTGACACGTGTGGGAAAGCTTTTAACTGCATGTCCAAATTGCAGAGACACCAGGGTGTCCATACAGGTGAGAAGCCATATTATTGCAGCATCTGTGGAAAAAGATTCAAACAGGCATCCGTGTTGCACACTCATGTAAGAGTCCACACAGGTGAGAAGCCATATACTTGCAAAACATGTGGGAAAGGTTTCAGGTGGACTAATTGCTTAACACGCCACATGAGAACTCACTCAGGTGAGAAACCATACACTTGTAAAACGTGTGGGAGAGATTTTCGATCTAGTAGTAACTTGAAAGACCACATGAAAACTCACACAGGAGAAAAGCTACATCACTGCAGCACAGATGTTTCAGGTGTAGTCAAACCCATATAGGAGAGAAAGTGTTTACCTATAAAACATATTGAACAGGTTGTTTCAGTTCAGTATAAAGCTGATAACTGAAGAATAGAGATAACTACACCGGTTTCCAATAGGTATGTCTTTGTGTTAACATTGAAGTATGTTGGAGCAACAGCATTTGTCAGAACAATCACAGTCTTCAATATCAGCGGAAGGAAGCTCATGCTAATGTTAATGAAACCAGCTTTGATTATATGCTTTCATTGGATACATGTACAGTAACTACTATGAGCATTTACCAAATGTCATAAATATCCAGTTTTCAAAAGTCTACCATCTTGTGTTTTTTGTCAGTAAATGTACAGTTTTAACTATTTATAAAACTGAAAATATAGATAGATAGATATGTACTTTATTCATCCCCAGGGGGAAATTTGTATGTTACAGCAGCAAGACATACCAAGTAAGCAAAGTAACAAATATGAGTAATATAGTGGAGCTAGAAGCCTCAGACATCTCTACAGAGTCTCCAGACACAGGGATTGACTGTTCTGCCTGTGATCTGTACATCCTCACCACTGATTAGATATGCTGATGTCTTCATTTACAACATTGCAGCAGCTGCCCACACTTGCAACTTAGTGTCGAAATCACCTTATTGGGCACCTCCGATTTTTGTACAAACCATCAGTTTAAAGGCTCCAGGAAAAATGCTACAACTTTCAGAATTGAGGGTGTCGATGCACTTGTGACCACACTCTCTGTATCAAGTGTGTTACCGGACTCGATTCTCTTTGAAAAGTATTAAACCTTCTGCCCAAGGCATCGAGAGTCTCCCGTTGCTTCTTCAGATTCCATTCGGCCTGTTCACACAATTTCACCTAAACTAAGGATCAACTAGAAATGCAGAGCCAGAACCAAAGAAAGACATCACAAAAGTCACAGTAACAATGTATGTCAGATTCACCTGAATATGTGCACAGTTAAAAACGTATGTGGGATAAAGTTTAGGCGTAAGAGTGACTTGAGAACCCACACAGGTGTAAAGCTGTATAACTGCAACGCATGTGGGGAAGGAGACTGTCGGATGCTAGACTTGAAAAAGCACAGAAGAATTACAAGTGAGAAGCAGTGCACCTGCAAAACCCGGGACCACAGTGCTGTGGGGACCTGAAAGTCTTTCTCACTGTCCCACACTAGAGAGAAGAGTATTCCATGTGTCTCATTTGACAAGGCATTTAAGATGCATACAGGCAAGTAGCTTTCCACTCGCAAACCCGAGAGAGGACTCAGTTGTTATGGTTTATGGGCCGGAGCTGTTCCCAGTTGACATTGGGCGAAGGCAGGGACCTGTACATCTGGGACAGGTCGAGAGAGTAGACAGATAACCCTTCATGCTCAGTCACACTAACGCACACCCTTACCCTGAAAACATTCACTGAATTACTTGCAACGCCTGGTGTGGTAGGCTACTATATAATTTAGATATTATAAGTTATACACACCCAGGAATCCACCCAGGGGAGGACATCTTCTGCCTGAAATCCACATTCAGAACTCAGAGAACAATTCATACAGGTTAAAAAACACATTATTTCATGATGAGCATGTCTGACAATATAATACAGAACGGTTTCCCGTTTGCTGTTAAACTACATCATTTAGGCACTGTTCAAAATTGAGACTCCATTCCAAGTATTTTACACATTGTCCAGTAATTTTAGCTTTCACGTTTTGATGGGACATTAACTTCAGTGAGATGACAGATGTCAAAAACAAATGATACTGGAACAACTCGTTACAGCCATGGCTAATGTTAAAAACATTTTCTTTAAAAGGGCCAACAATTACAAGCGGAACAAATGTTCACGCATTCATTCCACTGCCGGAACTTGACAGTGTAACATCCAGCGGAAGTAAACAATACATGCGCCGTAGTCGTTGCGCAGCTAATTATATAATTTGTAATTAAACAACAATGTCTTCAGTTGAGTATTTGAGAGAGTTTGTCAACGAGCGACTATCTGCTGCTGCTGAAGAAATATTCGGAGTTTTTGTGAAAAATATCGTCGCGTACGAGGAAGAGATCGACCGTCAGCGCAGGCTGTTGGATATCGTCTGGAAACCTGACATTAAGTTACACAGGATAGGTTTGTTAAACTGAAATGGTCCTTCAAAAGACAAATGAATGTGACTCATATATGATCCTGGTGGTTTAAATAGAAACGTATTTATTTATTCAGAAGTACATTTTTCTATCATCACAGTCGTATCCTATTTCTTTTGTTCTCTGTTCCTCCAGAGCTCCCACAGCAACATGTCTGTAAGGAGGAGGAGGTTCTCTCTGACCAGCAGCTCTGTAATCAGGAGAGGAACTCCAGTCTGGACCAAGAGGACCCAGATCCTCCACAGATCAAAGAGGAACAGGAGGAACCCTGCACCAGTAAGGAGGGAGAGCAGCTTGAGCTGAAGCAGGAGACTGAGACCTTCATGTTGACTCCTACTTATGAGGAAAGTGACCACACTGAAGATGGACTTCTGTACTTGTGTACTGATGAAACCCAAAGTGTGGTACAGGAAACATCTCTTGGCTACATTTTAGTTGAAAGTGCTGTAGTACCGGAACCAAACAATGACCACCAGCTCCTCTCACACAACTCTCATGAAGCTGAAAGCCAAGATCAGAAAGGAGGCAAACGTGGAGACTCTGAATCAAATAAAAATGGAGGGCCTAAACAAATAGATCACAAAAGCAACAGTCAAAGTAACAATGTGTGCAACCCCACTATGTCAACAATTAACTGTAATACAATCACAGGTAAAGAGTTCTTGCAATGCGACACATGTGGAAAACATTTTAAGTATAAGTCAACACTGAAGAGACACCTGAGAATCCACACAGGTGAGAAGCCACATTCGTGTAACACGTGTGGAAAAAGATTTAGTCGGACATCAACGTTAAACTCTCATATGAGAACACACACAGGTGAGAGACCATATTCTTGCCTCACCTGTGGGAAGATATTCAGTCAGATGTCAACATTGAATGGACATGTAAAAATACACTCAGGTGAGAAACCGTATTCATGCAAAACCTGTGATAAAGTCTTCAGTCGGTCATCACTTTTGAGTTCTCATTTAAGAATCCATACAGGTGAGAAACCGCATTCTTGCAAAACCTGTGGGAAAAAATTCAATCGGAAATCATTATTGATCAGTCACATAAGAATCCACACAGGTGAGAAACCGTATTCTTGCAACATATGTGGGAAAAGTTTCAGTTGGACGACACTATTGAAGGCTCATTCAAGAGTGCACACAGGTGAGAAACCGTATTCTTGCAAATCATGTGGGGAAAGATTTAGTTGGACATCACAACTGAAGACTCACAAAAGAGTCCATACAGGTGAGAAGTCATAACAGCAACATCTGTGGGAAAGTATTGTTTGAATTGGAAAAGGCATAAAAGAAAGGCTTCTATTCAAACCCACACAAACAAAGAGCCACATTAATGCAGAACATGAGGGAAAAGTTCATCTTAAATGTCATACCTGATAAAACAATCAATAAACAGGACAAACCAATTCCTCCTGAGTGTTCTCTTAGTAAAATCACTTTTGCAATGGCATCATTTTTATAACTGTATGTAAAACATTTCACATGAAAAAAAGGGGGTCACAACAATTTTTTTAATTAAGTAATACATTAATAACTGCATCATTTTTTTTTTATTTCCTTCATGGTATAGTATCACTCATATTGCTGTTAGTAACTATACAATTTTGTGATTGGTTCTATTTGATATAAGGTGACTTGTGGAAAAATTAAAAAAGATATATGAATGTCATATAGGTTTATATGATAATATGTATCTGTTTGGCATTGTGAAAGGCCTACATCGTTCACACTCGGCATGCATTATGTGAACAGGCTCTTGTTGTCTAATATGAGGACCTTGTAGATATGTGTGATTATATTCCGTATGATGTGAGATATAAAGCATAAACCTGTGTGAATGTCCTGTTACTTAAAGATGTTGATATGACTGTTTCTATGCATGCTGTACCAAGATCTTTTCTGGCCAGATTTGTGTTGTAATACATGTATATATTCAAGTAATTATAACTGGGACTCATGGAGTTATTACTATATAATTATCTATGTTAAGATTGACCTGAAGCACAAGTTTGTGTCAACACAAGATGCATGCAATAGTACGTACTTTGTAAGGGCAGCTCTATGTATTAAAAAGAAAAGAGTTAACTATTTGTCTGGTTTACATTTTATGGATATCATGCTGGAGGTCCTAAAGCTAAAGGACTATTTGGTAATTAGGTTTGAACAAAGAGAAAGACCGGCCCTCCCCATGTGCTCTGTCGTCCTCCGGCAAGGCAGGGCCAAAAAGACAGCTGGTGCAGGTTATAATCAAAACAAAAGATATTTAATAACTACAGAAGCTAAACAGTTGCAAACTGAACACACTATTAATAACAAAATGTACATATATATATATATAATGAAAGTGAGGCCCCGTCCGCACCACACGACAGACTGATATGTCTGCCCCATGGTACCTAGGAGGTCTGAGTCTCTTGTTAAAAAAACATCATCGAATATGAGCAGCGCGGATTGTTGGATATTGTTTGGAAACCTAAAATAAAGTTACACAGAATAGGTGTGTAAAATATGAATGGTCTTTTATTAACTAACAAGGGGAATATGACTCATAGGATCCTATTGATTTAAATACAAATTAGTTGTACTAAGCAGCTTTTCTTTTACCCTTTTTACTGCAGAATATCTGTTACAGCTTTGTGTATTGTATGATATAGTACAATATACTTGTTGTTTTGGGTTTCAGAGGTGCCGCACAAACACAAATTGTAGATGAAGTTCTACATAGCGCTATCAACAAATCAGCCGAAAATGTCGTGATTGATCTGTGTTCAAATGGACGTTGGCAACAAAATGTAGTTTTTTGATCTCATGTAAGTGTTCTAACTATAAAGCTTAGTAAGGTGATGATTTAAGACGACCAGATTCACTCTGAAGTCTAAACATTTTGTGAAATGGTGTTCATCAAGGCTGCAGATACATGTGACTGACAAGGAAAGAAAAAGTAGTCATAAGGAAGTAAAGTTCACTTTATTTACTTGACAGCTTAAGTTACTTTGTTGATTAAGATTTTTCTTACATACAAGAACTTGTAGTGAGCTTATTAAATAGTATTCCTTGTTTAGATATACATCAGTATGTGAACCAAAATGAAATAGGTCCAACTTGACTAGTTGCAACAAAAATGCTATTTGCTCATTATAACTTCAGTAACACAGACCTATTGTGCACAGGTACGTTCGCCTTTCACACTTTAAATAACATTTTACTGATAATTGCAATTTGGTACGTTTACTAACATTTTCAATGCATGGGTATTTTTTATGTTATTGCTACTTGTACTAACCTGTGTTAAGTATTTCCACCCATACTGATATGTATATATATTTTTATATAAATCGAACAGACATAAGTTAAATGTAGTAGAAGAGAGAAATTACCTATTTTCCTGTGAAAAGCACAGGTGTACGCCCGTAGGTCAAAACGGAACCAGTTTAGCGCCTGTCCGCTGTCGGAACTTCACAGTGTGACATCTAGCCAAAGTAAACAACACATGCGCTGTGTGACATAACTCTCTCTCTCTATGAGTGAATTGCATTAGCTGGAGGACAACATTGTACTCGTTGTGCTGCTAGTTATTTCATTTAAAAATAGCAACAATGTCTTCAGTTGAATATTTGAGAGAGTTTGTCTACGAGCGACTATCTGCTGCTGCTGAAGAAATATTCGGAGTTTTTAAAAATGCGATTGTTGAGTACCAGGAAGAGATCGACCGTCAGCGCAGACTGTTGGATATCGTTTTGAAGCCAAAAATACCTTTACACAGGATAAGTGTGTAAAACGTATTCTTTAAAATACTAACATTGTATTACAATTGTTTGTTTAAAAGTGTCTCATGTGGTTGATGAGTCAGTAATGGATTGTCTAATACATTCCTGTGGATTTAATTGTTTTTTGTAACAGTGTCTCATGTGGTTGAGTAATTTGTTTTTATTGGAGCGAATCACCAAAGGCCACTCCCTTCGGCTGCTGGCACTGGCGCTTGAAAAGCTTACTTTCCAATTCAGGTGCAACTTGTTCAGCAATGCGTTACACCTGAGCAGCGGTCCTAGAGAGGGAATAACGGGACAACAGCACAGGGAACACATAGAGCCGTAAAACTAAGTGTATGACATATATGATCCTAATGGTTTTAACATATAACATTACTTGTTGTATGTATAATGTCAGTTTTTCTGTCATCACAGCATTATCCTCTTTCTTTTATCTGACCCTCCAGAGCTCCCACAGCAACATGTCTGTAAGGAGGAGGAGGTTCTCTCTGACCAGCAGCTCTGTATTCAGGAGAGGAACTCCAGTCTGGACCAAGAGGACCCAGATCCTCCACAGATCAAAGAGGAACAGGAGGAACTCTGCACCAGTCAGGAGGGAGAGCAGCTTGAACTGAAGCAGGAAACTGAGACCTTCATGTTGACTCCTACTTATGAGGAAAGTAACCACAGTGAAGATCAACTTCTGTACTTCAATCCTGATGGCACAGTCAACATACCAGTTATAGGCTCTGTGGTACCAGAGTCAAACAATGACCACCAGCTCCTCTCACACAACTGGCATGTAGCTGAGAGCCAAGATCAGACAGGATGCAAGCACAAAGACTCAGGGTCAACGATGAATTCAGAGCTAAAACTAAAGAAAAGACAACACAAAAGCAGAACTCACAGTAATGATATAAACAACTCTAACTTGTTAAAGATTCCATCTTGCAAATGTGACACATGTGGCAAGACATTTCAGTTTAAGTCCAATTTGTATGCACACAAGAGAATCCACACAGATGAGAGGCCACATTTTTGCAACATTTGTGGAAAAAGATTCCGACAGACATCGGTATTGAAAGCTCATACAAGGATCCACACGGGTGAAAAGCCATACACTTGCAAAACATGTGGGAGAGATTTCAGATTCAATAGTGGCTTGTTGGTTCACACGAGAACACACACAGGTGAGAAGCCCTTTACTTGCGAAACATGTGGCAAAGCTTTCAGGTTTGGTAGTGATTTGAAAGTCCACATGAGAAGAGCCCACACTGGTGAAAAACCACCGTAACCTGCAAAACCTGCGGAATACGATTGTGTGGAGTGTTTGAATTGGCAAGGCATGAAAGAATGCAGACAAATAGCCTCGTTTTTGAACCCATACAAGTGAGGACCCACATAAATGCAGCACTCATGCTTGAAAAAAAACAGCATGAACAGGATAAACCACCAATCTACTCGCTAAAATGAATACACTATTGTTACAGCAATTTCTTTGTTATTTATAAAGTATTTCCCATCAAGAAGAGATCACACTATCTTTATTTAAGGAAATAGTGCATCGTCCACAAAGACATCAAGTTTTGTTAAACTAACTTTTTTTTAATATCCTACATATTACTGTTACTCACATTTCTGTTTGCAACAATATGTCTTTGACACCATCATTATCTCCCAAATCTTTCAATAATCGTTGCTGCACAATGAGCTCATAGTTCCTACAAATGTTAGACCTGTTAAATGAATAATAGTTGTAATAAAAATACATTTGAATACTCAAATGACTGGGTTTTTGGACTGTGATATTTAGGCTCAGACCCCTCTTTCTACTGTTGTTGGGTCCCTTGTGTTGTTATCCTGTCAAAGTATTTTCTTTTTCAGCATTAAACTTTATTTTATGTTTCTTATGTATTCTGTGATTGGTTCCATTTGATATGTTTGTTTTGGGTTTTAGAAGTGACACTAACCAAAAATTGTAGATGACATGGTGATGTGGTGCTCTCAATAAATTTTGCTCACAATAAAAAAAATGGAATTCCAGTCATTCAGAGTGGTCTTTCCAAATTGATGGATTGGACGATTATGTTCAGGACAAGCAGCAGGAACCCAAGTGTTAGAAGTGCATCAACAAAATGCTGTCATTTGATCTCCAGTTTGTATACTAGTTTAATAAAAACACGGGGCCATACTATTACAATTCGGCATTTTTTAAATAAACCAATTACAACTACCAACAGTCATACTCTCAAGGACCTTAATGCATTGTCACATATTGTCAAATAACTAAAAATAAAGGCTAAAAACCGGCAACTGCCGCGGCGAGTTGTGGCAGCTGCCAGCTGAGCTTGCAACAGGAATGCCTCCGTTAGCTGCCACTCCCATTTTGAGCCAGCTTCTATATCCACTGTAGGAAGATAATTGTGTAACACGTAGCGGATGTAGACAAAATAAGAGCTTGTAGCATTAACTCCACCTCTATGTATGAATGTAACGTTAGCTGGAGAGGGTGTTGTAGTCAGTCGTTGCGTAGGTAAATATATTTAATTGGTAAACTAAGCAATGATGTCGTCAGTTGAATATTTCAGAGAGTTTATCAACCAGCGACTATCTGCTGCTGCAGAAGAAATATTCGGAGTTTTTGCAAAAACTATCGTCGAGTACGAGGAAAAGATCGACCGTCAGCGCGGATTGTTGGATATCGTTTATAAACCTGCAATACAGTTACACAGGATAGGTAAGTAACACAAGTATTTAAATAACACACAAAGAGGTATTGGATTTATATATAATCGATCTCGGCGCTACTGCATGTTTGTTTGTTTTGTTCCTTTACCATCAGAATAGTACTCTTCACCTTTTGCTCTCTGTCCCTCCAGAGCTCCCACAGCAACATGTCTGTAAGGAGGAGGAGGTTCTCTCTGACCAGCAGCTCTGTATTCAGGAGAGGAACTCCAGTCTGGACCAAGAGGACCCAGATCCTCCACAGATCAAAGAGGAACAGGAGGAACCCTGCACCAGTCAGGAGGGAGAGCAGCTTGAGCTGAAGCAGGAGACTGAGACCTTCATGTGGACTCCTACTTATGAGGAAAGTGACTACTGTGATGTTGAGACTCAGAGTGTAGTGGGGGACAAGCTTCTAAGTTACATTTCAGTTAAAAGCGCTGTAGAACCTGATCCAACCAATGACCACCAGGTCAGAAATGCAGAGCCAAAACAAAAGGAAAGACATCCCCAAAGCAACAGGTGCACTAACATTGTAGATAATGTGAGAACCCACACAGGTCAGACATCGTCATTGAATGATAATGTAAAAATCAACACGGATGTGAATCCGTATACTTGTGAAATATGTGGGAATGGTTTCAAATGGACTTGGCACCTAACACTCCACATGAAAAAGCACACAGGTGAGAAGCCGTACCTTTGCAGGACCTGCGGGATACGATTCAGTGACGTTTCAGTTTTGGAAGGGCACATGAGACTCCACAGAAGTGAGAAGACGTACACTTGCGAAACATGTGGGAAAAATTTCAGACGTAACGGTAACTTTAAACTCCACATGAGAACGCACACAGGGGAGAAGCCGTACCATTGCAAGTTCTGCGGGAAAAGATTCAGTGACATGTCGGCTTTGAAAGGGCACGTTAGAATCCACACAGGCGAGAAGCCATATATTTGCGACACGTGTGGGAAAGGATTCCGCCAGACATCAACGTTGAAGAGCCACATGAGCATCCACACAGGTGAGAAGCCGTATACTTGCAAAACCTGTGGGAAGTATTTCAGACTAATTGGTCTCCTGAGATTACACATAAAAAGAATCCACCATGGTGGTAAACTGTGATTAAATGTACTCAATTTGTACTATGGAGAAGAGGTGACATGATCTCAGTGACAATAAGTAGTAGATTGTCAACAATGCCGTATAGTTTTGTTAAACTAACCAGTTTTTTTGTACTACATTACTCATGTTTTTTGTTTGCAATCGTATTTCTTTAAAACACTAATAATATCCCAAATCTTTAAAAAATGTTTTCTGCACAGTGAGTACATATAACAAATATGAAATATATCGTTTTTTTAAAGAGAGGACATATCCCCTCTCTCTATTGTTGTTTGGTCACTTACGTCATCATCCTGCCGACTGGAGTAACTTCTTTTCTGACTGCAGTATGTCCGTTCATTTTATATTTATATGTATTTTTTGGAAGTTGTTTAACTTGATATGATTTTTGGTTTTTAGGGGCTTTAGAGATGACACACACATTGTATATCGTGCACTACATGGCATTCTGCTGTTATTTGATCTCACGTGTATGTGTTCTAACAATAAAGCTTTGTAAGGTGAGGACGTAAGAAAACCAGATTAATCCTTATGTCTGAAGTTATAAGCACATTCTTTACATCAAGGCCGCAGATGTGTGAGTGACATCAAAAGAAAAAGGCGTCACAGTGAAGCACAGTTCTTTCCAGTGTTATGGCATGCAAGAGGTGTTTTTCGTTGCAGCTCAGCGGTTGAAGGAGAAGTATTATTTGACACTGATCAAAGTTAGCATTAAGTTTAATAATCAACACACTTAGGATTCAACAGTTTCACCTCATATTGGTAGAAGGAGGAGGGTTGGCTCACCTCCCAATCCTTGTACATAAATATATTGATTTTTTTTTCAATATGCTGATTTGCCCATATTATTGAAAAGTATCATAAAAAAATACATCAATTTGGTCTAATGTAGAACACATACTTTGCTTTTAACTGATAATTAATTAATTCTAACAGAGCGCTTCTATCTTTACCGGCACAGCTTTTCCAGCCTTTACGGCACTCGTTCACCGGTCAAGGAAACACACAGACCAATTGCATGCGTTGTAAATCATATATGTGTATTCTATAGGCGTCACAACTCCAGTGACATTTGCACACACACGGGAGAGAACGTGAGTCAGAGAAGTTATTTCACATGGTCTCCAAAGAGAAATGTGAACAAAGAGACCAGAGAGACCCGAGAGACCAGAATGTTAAACCAACAATGTACAGACTGGTGTATCTTCATTCTTATAGATGTCCAGAGAATATGGAGTGAGTTTAGAGGCGGTAATGTAAAGTGCCACTACGAGACAAAGCACACATCTTTTGAGCAAATGTACCCACTCAAATGCGAAATGAAGGTACAACAAATAAACGATCTAAGAGCCCAAAATGATCAGAATCCTAGCACATCAATTCACTGCCCAACAATGATGTTAACAGAGAGGAATAGAGCTGAAACGAGTGGTTTCAATAACCACAGATAAAGTCCCTCCACACAAATTTCTCTTTTTAGAAGATGAAAATAAGATGGATATCGTGGCTTTTTTGATTGACCACTTCACACCTCACAATTTGAAAGCTGCAGGGCAAAGACAATTCAGTTAAATTCATTTTTCTAAAACAAAGTACTTTATTTTAAGAGTCACATTTATTTATGATTTGAGTATATATTATTTATAATTAATCCAGTTCAATTTGAAATCTGACAATAAATATTGTTTCAATATTATTCCATTGAACTTTCTTTGTCAGATGTTGACCACATACAGACGTTAATACAACTGTTGGCTACTTCAATATACATGGGACTGAATCATAGCGCACGGTAAGACATTATTTGGTGTTCCCGACCTTTACCTTTGGATGAGGAAATTCTCTCTAACTGAATACCCCTGCTGTATAGCTTTTAGCCCAATTAAGTGCAGGTGCTCAGTAAACTTTAGGTTTAAGCAATAAACCAATAATTGTATTTATTGAAATCTGGTTTTGAGTGATAATATAACTTTTGGGGGTTTTCTTGAAATGGACAGTGATACAAATAACTTATAGTATGTAATTATAGCCCTGACTTGGGCCATTCTAAATAATGATTAATTCAACGTTTCTTTCTTAAAGTATATTTTGTTAATAGCCTAATAATTACTTACTTTTACCAACTAACATTTTGAATACACCGTTCAAAATGCTTAGAAGTTATTTTTACTTAAATAATCATATTGGATATTTATTTTTGTACTGACTTCGAAGAAACAAAAACTCAGCTTTCATTGAAAAGTACCACATTTCATTGTGAATTGAAGCGAGGTAGATGTCCATCATTCCCACTGATGTTAAATGGACAAGTTGTGAATAAAATGCCAACAGTTCAAAGCGGAAAGAAAAGGTCGCGCACTTCGACTGTCGGAACTTTAACAGTGTGACATCCGGCGGAAGTAAATAACGCAAGAGCCAGCAGTGTGAACTGTTTACACGTGTGTGTCTAGTTAAGGGACTCTGTTGAAACCCTGGTGCAGATACTTTTTCACTTGTACTTAAACAACAATGTTGTCAGTTGAGTATTTGAGAGAGTTTGTCAACGAGCGACTATCTGCTGCTGCTGAAGACATATTCGGAGTTTTTGAAAAAACTATTGTTGAGTACGAGGAAGAGATCGACCGTCAGAGCAGACTGTTGAATATCGTGTGGAAACCGGAAATAAAGTTACACAGGATAGGTGAGTAAAGATGTAATGATCTTTAAAGAATATTATTACTCAAGAAGGATTTATGTTTATGTCTCTGCTCAGGGGTGCGTTTTTCTGTCATCACAGTCGTATCCTATTTCTTTTGTTCTCTGTCCCTCGAGAGCTCCCACAGCAACATGTCTGTAAGGAGGAGGAGGTTCTCTCTGACCAGCAGCTCTGTATTCAGGAGAGGAACTCCAGTCTGGACCAAGAGGACCCAGATCCTCCACAGATCAAAGAGGAACAGGAGGAACTCTGCACCAGTCAGGAGGGAGAGCAGCTTGAGCTGAAGGAGGAGACTGAAACCTTCATGATGACTCCTATTGATGAGGAAAGTGACCACAGTGAACCAGAACCAACAAGAGACCAAGAGACTCCAACCCTCAATCCTGATGACACGATCAACTTACCCATTATAAGCCCTGTGGTATCAGGACCAGAAAGTGACCACCAGCTCCTCTCCAGCAACTCTCATACAGCTGAGAGCCAAGATCACAAACGAGCCAAGAAGAGAGACTCGAGATTTTTTCAATGTGACACGTGTGAGAAGGCTTTTCAGTTTAAGTCAAAGTTGCAGAGACACATGATGATACACACAGGTGAAAAGCCATTTACTTGCGACACGTGTGGGAAAAGGTTCACTCGGACAGCATCATTGCATGCTCATAAGAGAATCCACACAGGGGAGAAGCCGTTTTCTTGCAAAACATGCGGGAAAGGTTTTAAATGGCGTAGCTGCTTCAAAATCCACATGAAATCTCACTCGGATGGCAAGCCACGGATGCATACTTTTAAGACCTGTGGGAAAATATTAATAAAGAAATCATCATTGAACGCTCACGTAAGCATCCACACAGGCGAGAAGCCGTATTCTTGCAACACCTGTGGGAAAATATTCAGTCATAAATCATCATTAACAGCTCATGTGAGCATCCACACGGGCGAGAAGCTGTTTTCTTGCAAAATATGTGGGCGAGATTTCAGACTCGTTAATAACTTGAGGTCCCACATGACAACCCACACGGGTGAAAGGCCGTATTCTTGCAGCACATGCGGGAAAAGATTCAGTCGGAGATCACAACTGAAGGCCCATATGAGAATTCATACAGGGGAGAAGCCATTTTCTTGCAAAATATGTGGAAGACATTTCAGATACGATACTGGCTTGCTGGCCCACAAGAAAAGAGACCACACTGGCGAGAAGTCATAATAACAATGACACCTTTTGGGGAAAGATTGTGTTTCAATATAATTGACTCATTACTGAATAAACACTCGAGTGATGTTAGGTCACTTGTGTTTTCATCCTGCACGCCCCTTGTATATACACAAATATTTATTCCATATTGTTATGTAATTTGTGATTGATTCAACATGATACGTTTTATAAGGTGACACAAATTGCAGACCCTGTGCTGTGTTGTTGTGAATTTTTTAAATTAATAATGTATTTTATTGTAAAACCTACAATATCAACCAGCTATTTTAACATGAAACAAAGGCAACCATGGAAACTCAAGATCAACTGTAAATGCACAGCGAAAAACAAAGAAATAAATACACAAGTATGTTTTTTGTTTTTTTTATATGTTGTTTTGCTTATACTTGATTACATTTGATGTGTACTTTTATGTCTACTACATTACCTTCACAGCTAAAGTTATTTTGGTGATTGATATTACATAAAAATCCTAGTTAGCTTATTTGATATGATGCCTTGTTAAAATATCAGTATTTAAAATTAGCTGAGCCAAAATCAGAAAGAAGGCAAGTATGAAGAGCTGGAACAAAAGCAGAAGCACAGTAGCAATGTACACAACTGTAACTTAAAGATTGACAGAAATACTCATGCAGGTGAAATGTTTTTCCAATGTGACACTTTCAAATGTAGGCCCTTATTTCAGAGACACCCTGGACAGTCCCAGTTTGTTTTTAGGGGAAGAAAGGGAAGTGATGTTAACTTAAATAAGCAAAACAGGATTGACAGAAATATCAGTAATAAGTGTTGTAGAGCATGAAGGGAAAGGCAGAGGAGCGAGATGGATGTTTGACTTTTTTTAGAGACGCACTGGCCTCATAAAAAGGATGAATATGATATATAATAGACGAAAGACAATTGCGTAGTAACTGATTAATTCCAGCAGGGGGCAGCAATACAGTATAGCGGACTCCGTAAAAGCCGGTAAAGACATAGAAGAAGAAAAACAAGGAGGTAAACGATACAACCGCTGTTTTTAGCTCTATGGATGTGTGGTATTAACTGAGATATGTAACTAAGAAACAATGTCTTCAGTTGAGTATTTGAGAGAGTTTGTCAACGAGCGACTATCTGCTGCTGCTGAAGACATATTTGGCGTTTTTAAAAATGCGATCGTTGAGTACCAGGAAGAGATCGACCGTCAACGCAGACTGTTGGCTATCGCTTGGAAACCATTAATACAGTTACACAGGATAGGTTTGTACAACAAAGAAGATGTCCGCATTTTTCCTTCAACATCACAGTCGTATCTTATTTATGTTGCTCTCTGTCCCTCCAGAGCTCCCACAGCAACATGTCTGTAAGGAGGAGGAGGTTCTCTCTGACCAGCAGCTCTGTATTCAGGAGAGGAACTCCAGTCTGGACCAAGAGGACTCAGATGCTCCACAGATCAAAGAGGAACAGGAGGAACTGTGCACCAGTCAGGAGGGAGAGCAGCTTGAACTGAAGCAGGAGACTGAGACCTTCATGTTGACTCCTATTGATGAGGAAAGTGACCACAGTGAAGATGAGACTCCAAACCTCAATCCTTATGACACTATCGACTTACCCTTTATAAGCTCTGTGGTATCAGGACCAGAAAGTGACCACCAGCTCTTCTCCAACAACTCTCATACAGCTGAGAGCCAAGATCACAAACGAGCCAAGAATGGAGACTCAAGATCAACTAAACATGCAGAGCCGAAAGTTAAGAAAAGACGTTGCAAAAGGAAGAGTCTCACAAAGAGTCAATCTGACCCGACTACGTCAAAGAGTGACAGTAATACTCACACGGATAAGACGCTTATTCATTGTGACACGTGTGACAAAACCTTTAAGTATAAGTCACAATTGCAGAGTCATCTGACCGTACACACAGGGGAAAGGTCTGATTCGTGTAACACTTTAAAATGTGACACATGTGAAAAAGAATTTATCTACCCGTCAAGCTTGATCATTCACCTGAGAACTCACTCGGGTGAGAAACCATTTTCTTGCAAAACGTGTGGTAATAGATTCAGTCACAAATCAGCACTGAACTCTCATCTAACAATCCATACAGGTGAGAAACCGTATTCTTGCAAAATATGCGGGAGAGCTTTCAGACTCGGTGGTAACTTGAGAGTCCACATGAGAATCCACACAGGCGAGAAGGCATTTTCTTGCAACGTCTGTGGGAAGAGATTCAGTAAGTCATTATCATTGAATACTCATAAAAGAATCCACACCGGTGAGAAGGCACTTTCTCACAAAACATGACGACAAACAAACAAACAAAGCCGATTCCACGAGGCGTAGGTATAGGCCCAGTGGCTGCTTGGTCCACATGAGAAGAGCCCACTGGTGAGAAGCCGTCACCTCTGCGGTAAACGTGTGGGAGACAATTCAGTTCTCGTGGTTCATGATCAAACACACCTTTTCCAATTGAAAAGAGGTCACAATGTTATTGTAATGAAGTAGGAGATTATGAACAATGCCATCAAGTTTTGTTGAACTAATCTTGTTTTTTTTCCTTCATATTACTCGTTTTTATCAGAAACAATACTTCTGTAAAAACATCTCCCTCATCTTTGTTGCACAATGAGTGCATAGTTCTTACAAATGTTTGACCTGTTCAATTATCTTTTTACAATGTTTATACACCACCCCAGATATATGAGTTGATTGTGAACTCTGTTGAATCTGAGGAAGTCTCTCTCTTGTGGTCTTGGGTCACTTTATGTTGCATTCTTGTCAACTAGTCTTTTCTCTTTTATCGTCTGCAACATGTCGACTGTAAGTAAAGCTCTTTCAATATTCTGTAGCAGAGATATAAATGATAGATAGCATACGAATGAGATTCTAAGCAGACATACTGTATCCATAATCAGGGTTTCCACACGTCCTTGAACACCTGAAAATATCTGAAAAAATTGACCAAGTTCCCAGTCATTGAAAATAAGAGGAAAAATAAAATGTCCTGGAAAATCTTGTGTTTACTGGAAAATGATTTCAACATTATTTTATGTTCCTTTAGCTGAGAATGAATTACAAGGATATCCATTAGAGCTCCACAAAATGGATAACATTGCCATCTTAAAGAGAAAAGTTACGTTCAGGATCATATTTCAGTTCAAATGGTAGTTTATGGAGGAGAGTGTTGAACTGGCTGCTCTCGTTTATGTTGTGAAAACGCTATGAACAACCCCTCAAGTCACGCACGAAATACAACATGCAGGTTGGATTACATTACAATTTAAGTAGCCAGAATAACACATAATCTAGATTACATTATCATTCAAATGTACATATTAGTCACTGCTGGTTTGTAAATGTGGTCGTTTTTTGTTATTATAGTACTCTATGAAAAATGTGTCATAGTTTCTGAGCACACAGGAGATGGTTGCATAGAGAAGTTATAGTCATAAACTCCACATATTTTAAATCAGATGTCCACAGAGGAACATATTAGGTCACATGAGGAACTATACAGAATTAAATTTATACTTTAATGGTTAAGACTGTTTTTACATGAGAATTATTTTGAAGGCACTAAGTATTAAAGCACCAAGTTACTGCTCTGTGATAATCTGTCCCTCCAGACAGTCCCAGTTTGTTTTTAGGGGAAGAAAGAGAAGTGATGTTAACTTAAATAAGCAAAACAGGATTGACAGAAATATCAGTAATAAGTGTTGTAGAGCATGAAGGGAAAGGCAGAGGAGCGAGATGGATGTTTAACTTTTTTGAGAGACGCACTGGCCTCATAAAAAGGATAAATATGATATATAATAGAAAGAAATAAGATGGCGTAGTAACTGACTAGTTCCAGCAGGGGGCAGCAATACAGTATAGCGGACTCAATACAATCCCAGTGAAGAAACAGAAGAAGAAGGAAAACAAAGCGGTAAACGACACAGCTGCTATTGTCTTCAGCTCTATGGATGTATGGTATGAGCTGAGATGTGACATTTCAGTTGCAGTGGTTTTTAACTGAGCAACAATGTCTTCAGTTGACTATTTAAGAGAGTTTGTCAACGAGCGACTATCTGCTGCTGCTGAAGAAATATTCAGAGTTTTTAAAAATGCGATCGTTGAGTACCAGGAAGAGATCGACCGTCAGAGCAGACTGTTGAATATCGTTTGGAAACCTGTAATACAGTTACACAGGATAGGTGAGTACAACTTGTTTTTTTAATAACACAAAGTATTCACAATTGTTTAAATGCTTGCATTTCTGGACTTTTCCTTCGACATCACAGTCGTATCTTATTTATTTTGTTCTCTGTCCCTCGAGAGCTCCCACAGCAACATGTCTGTAAGGAGAAGGAGGTTCTCTCTGACCAGCAGCTCTGTATTCAGGAGAGGAACTCCAGTCTGGACCAAGAGGACCCAGATCCTCCACAGATCAAAGAGGAACAGGAGGAACCCTGCACCAGTCAGGAGGGAGAGCAGCTTGAGCTGAAGCAGGAGACTGAGACCTTCATGTTGACTCCTATTGATGAGGAAAGTAACCACAGTGAACCAGAACCAACAAGAGACCAAGAGACTCCAAACCTCAATCCTGATGACACCATCAACTTACCTGTTATAAGCTCTGTGGTATCAGGACCAGAAAGTGACCACCAGCTCCTCTCCAACAACTCTCATGTAGCTGAGAGCCAAGATCAGAAAGGAAGCGAGCATGAAGACTCAGAATCAACTTGCGATTCAGAACCAAAGAAAAGAAAACAGAAAAGCAGAAGAAGAAACAATGTTAACAACTCTAGTGTCTTAGATAGTCACGATATCACTCACACAGGTAAACAGACTAACAAATGCGATACATGTGGAAGAGAGTTTAAATATAAGTCAGAGTTGCAGAGACACATGAGCGTCCACACAGGTGAGAAGCCCAATGCATGCAAAGAATGTGGGAAAGACTTCAGTTGTAGCAACGCCTTGAAAGTTCACATGAGAATCCACACAGGTGAGAAGCCCTTTGTTTGCAAAACATGTGGGAAAAGATTCCGCGAGTCCTCCATATTTAAGGGTCATATGAGAACCCACACAGGTGAGAAGCCACATTCTTGTAAAACATGTGGGAGGAGATTCAGTCATTTATCCTCTTTAAAGATTCACACAAGAACCCACACAGGTGAGAAGCCCTATTCTTGTAAAACGTGTGGGAAAGGTTTCAAGTGTGCTAGTGACTTGACAATCCATATGAGAACCCACACGGGCGACAAACCGTACAGTTGCAAGACCTGCGAGAAAAGATTCTGTGATATTTCACCATTGATAAGGCACATGAAAATCCACACAGGTGAGAAACCACATTCTTGTCAAACATGTGGGAAAGCATTCATTCGGGAATCATCGTTGAAGAGTCACATGAAAACCCACGCAGTCCAGAAGTCATATTCGTGCACAACTTGTGGAAGAGATTTCAGAAAAAACATTGGCTTGTTGGCTCACATGAGAAGAGCCCACACTGGGGAGAAGCTGTTAACGTAGCAGCACACACAAAGGAGAAACTCCTGTGGAGACATGTTTACTAACTGACTTACATACTTGTGCAGCAGCTTCATCTCTGTAACTGAATGTGTGATGTGGCAATATCTTATTGTAAAGTTTCCCTTCATGTGACTATTTCTGTACAGTACAGTGTGTGAGTTTACAGTCGGGGCTTTTAATGTTTGTGGGTTTTGCCAAATGTATATTTATGTATGTTGGGATCACTTTTAGTTTAAAGTTTAATATGGTCTTAAAATCGATGTACACCTTGTAATATTTGATAGTTCTATGAATCCACTTGCACATCTTTGCAAGAGGTCAGATTTATATTTGAGAGTGAATGACATCACTTTTTTATACGATACGAGATGTCCTATGAAATGTGAATGTGCCTTCTTTTTGCTATTGTTATACACTTCCCGTCTAATGTCTGTCCACATTTTTGGCATTTCCCTGAAATGACAGATGATTGATCTCATACCAAATTAGTTTCCAGTTGATTTTAAAGAATATGATGCTAAGTGGAAGAAACCCGTATCCCCTTTTCCAGTCACAGAACTTGCCAGTGTGCAGAGGAGTGATTGTTGTATGGATAAGAGCATTTGCCAAATTGCAATAGATTTATATTTTTCAAAAGACCAGCATCTTGTGTTTTTTTTTGTTAGTAGTTTTAGTTTGCAATCACCAAAACGCTGATCTAGATGCATTTTGATGAACGAAACTAAGACTACCACATCCACATCACCACCTTTTATCCACAAATATTTAAATATCATGGAATTATGTGGCATTGTGTTCATGAATAAACGTTTTGTTAATTTAAACATCATTTGTTTGTACTTACGTTCTTTTAATTATCATTTTGAATACACCATTACACTCGTATTTCTACTAAAACAGTCTGATTGCTTCTGACTTTTTTCTAAAAATTATATTAAATGCAAAATCAATATATGCGAAGTAACAAAAACCACATCTGTCATTTGCAAGTCGTAGTTTATTAAAGAGTTCCACATTTCCGTTCCTTTGTGGATTGAAGCACTTCCCCCACTGAGCAATGCAGCAGGACAAGCTCTCCCAGCTGCACCTGTCTGTGGAGCACAGACCGGTCCGACAGGAAGCAGCACGTGAAGCTGGGGAAACACGTCTCAGACAATCAGCACCGGTTCCCCTCAAGGCTGCATTCTTCTCCTTCTACACCTACAGCTGCACCTCCAGTCACCAGTCCTTCAAGCTCCTGAAGCTTGGCTTGTGGATGACATCACCCTCATTGGACTCATCGCTGGTGGATGGGGAAAAAAAAGCTAATAACTCTTTATAGTATAGAGTTTAATAAAGAAATGTCATAATACACTTTTCATGTGCGACCCTAAATCATATGCTGGCTCCCTTAATTAGAAATTAGTTATCGAAACTTTTGGAAAGCCTGTTGCAGTAGCCGTTGTAGTTGTAGTAGCAGTTGTTGTATTTGACGCTACAGTAGTAGTTGTAAAAGGCGTTGTTGTAGTCGTAGGCACTAATGTATGAATGTGATTCAAATTCTTATGTCGTCCTTCTCTTCTTCCCAGATGATTGCGGAGTTGAACTGAGGATGAACAAGTTACTTCACTCACCTTAACCATGTCTTCGTTGTCTTCTTTTACCTTATGAATGTACTCAGAGGGGTTTTTGATGAAAAGATTTAATTGAAATGGGTGGTTATCTGTTCAATAACCCCGTCCTTCTATATCTACAAAACCCAGCACTGGTGCATTGCAAACTAACTAACCAACGACGCCACCGATGCCAGGCGTACTTGGAACTAACTAATATTCTAGGACTTATTTAATGAATTATTAGAGAGACCATGTTGTGACTTTTGTAGTTTGTAACATACTCTTCTATGACCTTTTCACACCTATTATTCCATTATGTATGAATTACTTTTTTCAACATACTTCATTATGACTTTTTTCGACATTCTTTACTATGACCCTTAGGACTTTTTGTTGAGATGATATACTATGACTTTTTTCGACACTAAACTATGACTTTGTTTTGACATATACTGCAATTTCTTTTACTTATTTTTGATTTGCTATACTATGTATAGTCCAGCCATGTTCCGACTGTTACATTCACTCATGCAGCTGCAACTTTTATTTCAACTTTTACATTCAACATGCTATATCATGACTTTCTAGTATAACTTTTTTCCACATACTATTCTATAACTTTTTTTGACTTACTATACATTGACTTTTGTGACGTACTGTACTATGATTTCTTTATGACTTTTTTCAATACCCTGTACATAATTGATTTTAATGAATAAAACATACACTATTACATTTTTGACGTACTATACTATGACTTTTTAATGACATGCTTTACCATGACGTCTTTTGTTATACAATACTGTGACTTTATTCAATATGACTTTTCTATGACTTTTTTTAGACATACTATACTATGACACTTTTTTCCTACATACTAAATTATTACATTGTTCTAAATACTATACTATGACTTTCATGACTTTTTTTCAATATGCTATTCTATTACCTTTTTATGACTTTCTTCCATAACTTTTTTAACAACCTATACTTTGACTTGTTTCTAGCTTTTTTTGACATACTATATTATGGATTTATGACTTTTGTATTATACTATGACTTTTAATATGCTATGGTGTGTTGGAAAAAAGTTATAAAAAGGTAATATAGTATGTGGACAAAAGTTAAAAAAAAAGAAAAAATCATCATTTAACATCTTAAAAAAATATCATTAAAAAGTCATAGTATAGCATGACTTTTTAATGATTTTTTTTTAACATGTTAAACTATGACTTTTTAAAAACTTTTTAAAAAAAGAACTGAAACTAAAGTAAAGAAACTACAATTTTAGAATTTGGAAAATGAAACTCCACTATTGCAAATGCATCCGACTCATTTATTTAACAAATCCTCATAAGCAATATCTGATTCCCCATCAGGTAATAACTATACACCAAGGCCACACCAATCAAACAATACTTCTATTGTAAAGTATTGCAGCTTAAAAATCTATTGTATGACACAGATAGAAAAAAATAAGTTAACATCATTTTTATGGGAAACAATGTTTGTAGGGAAATCAGGTAAAAGCTCAACAATTAATGTGGGTCAATGTTCACAGCAATTTCTTTGCTCTGTGTATTCTGGTTCTAAACACCAGTGAAATATCAGCCAACGGACGTTCGGTTATAGCAGCAATAAGCATCAAACTCATTTCACCGACATCTGGATTTCCATCGTCTGTCCAAGATTTCAGGCAGCTCGTGACAACATATCGTCATGCTCCACCAATCTGTCCACTCTACAGTTCTCTTCCCAGTCCTCCTCAGTGAACGTCAGACTCAGCTAAGTGGTATTCTAACTCAGTCTTCATGTCCTCTGAGCTGCTTTGCTCGGTGGCCAGCACCGTCTCAACAGGAAAAGATAAATATATACCGTCTTTCAGTCTTTTCGGGGAGGGCGAGTCTCCTGCACAGAAAAGAGGATCTGTGATTTTAAAAGTCATCGAGCGCATGTTATGTGTTCTCCGCTTGGTGTTCTTCTTCTTCTCTTGTTTGTAGGCAGCGTTCATATTGGCGATCACCTGGAAGTGGAAGAAACACATTCAGACACAAAACAGAAAGGATGTTCGTCTTTTCGGGTTAAAAACAAAAAAAAGGACAAAATAAATATAAAACATCTGAGCTAAATAATTTCTCTCCACATCTACCATATGCTACACACAGCCAGTTATGTTTATGAGTTTAACAATTAATCCCATAAATGTGTGCATTTGTGAATATTGTTTTGACAAGTTTGTTGTTGCATAACACATGGGTAATACCAGTATACTTTGTACCAGTTATAATTGATACTTTCTAGTTTAAATGACAGGAAACTCTGGCGTGTAAGTCATTTAATAAATTATTAAATAAATATATGGTTTCTTGGTTTGGTTTCTTTCTTTTATTTTCTTTTAGCATGCAACATCTTAATTTTAGCATGAAAAAATGTGACTTATAGTCATCAAATGGACAGAAATACAACACCGAAATAATGCAAATGTAGCTCTGCTCTTCCAATATATGTAAAAAGGACAACTGTTTGCTAACGTTTTTGCTGTAAAAACCTTGTAAAAGGTGATAATATGTCGATGTCAGCAACAATGACGATAAGTTCACAGCTAAACTCAGACAGGAGCGGTTGCATAAGGAAGAGGCGTTCAGGAATGAGGACAGGGAGAGGTTGTAAGAGACTAAATACAGGTTTAGCAAGTTTAGAAAATGTATTCTAAGGAACTTCAACAACAGTTCGCAGAAAATGACTGTACTTCTGTCTGATAGGGTCTCACACAGGTCACCAGCTGCAAACCTAAAGGCCCAGGCACACCAAACCTGATTGTCTAGAAATCTATGAGAAAATTCTCATTTGATATATATTACCTCAGTAAATATTGTAAACTTGAGTTCATGGCCTAAATCGCTATAGTGCCATAATGGCAACAGATAAAAATCAAGATGGTGACGGACAAAATCTCAAACTCGAGGCTGTAAAACGTCAGTCAACAAACTAATGGGGGACTACGTTCACTTCTTATATGCAGTTTGTATACCCCCAACCCCCATTTGTGGGTTTTGTGTCAAAACCCAGAAAGCAGCGGATGATGTGCATGTGACAATCAGATAAACAAAAAACTAGCTCCATCACCAACATCCATTGTAATAGAGTAAGACAAAACAATTACCAGCTGCTTCACAGAGTTCTGCTGCTCCTGCATTATGGTCATATATGCCGAGGCCTTCTCCTTCGTGGAATACATATCCTGCTCTTGGTCGTCATAACCGAGCAGGCTCAAAGTAGTCTGGAGCAAAGGAAGTCAAATTAGTATGCAAAAACAAACCAGAGTTAGATTTGTTTTTCTTGACAAGGGAGCCCTACCTCGTTTGGTAAATTAGCTTTCCTGTTGAACATGAGGGAGTAAGGGCTGAACTTGGTCGTAGGGTTGGTGGACGTCCTGAAGAGAAACAGCACTGGGTCCAGGAAGTCGTCCCATTCCGCCTGCTTCTCAGTTACCATCTGCAAAATGGCTTCCTTCAGTAAAGGACTCGTGCAGTCGTGAAGCGGGTTGAGCTGAGGTTGATCCAGAGGAGACACCTTCTGCACAATGCTCCACCTGCCGCACAGCAGCTTTGTCACCTAGAAAACACCAATACAGGCACTGATAAAACTGGTCCATGACAGTGTTACAATGTCTAATCCTTCAATTGATCGGTTTATTCTAATTGACCTTGCGACTCACATCTCACCTCATCACAGAAGTCAGCATTCTGTGTACACACTATTACTTTAGGGGCACCAAACCTGATTGAACAGAGATCAGAATACATTATGTTGCAGGTTAACTTTGTTTCAACCTAAAGATGAATATTGACGATTTTGTGAAATGCTTCTACCTGTATATGCATTTGGAAATACATTTCGCAACAGAGAGAGCATCTGTCTTTTGCACTGGAAAAGCTTCTGGCCATTTACTAAAATAATCAATGAGGACTGTAACACTGGTGTTGCCTTGCTGCGTCTCTGGGAAAGGCCCTGGTTAAGAGAAGAGAAGAGAAAAACAGGCAGCAGGTCTCAACGTGTGGAAAGAAATGATACAGAATATAAAAAAAAATGTGATCAAATGAATTGAGGCTGAAACCTGTTATGTCAATCCCAACAATATCCCACGGTGCATCCACTTTTATAGGCCGAACAATCCTTGCCAGGTTTTTATTCCTCTCTGTGTGCCGACAGGTCTCACAGACTTTTATCTGAAACAGTTATCGCAGAAGGTTCAACTTTATTATCGTCACGTCTCATTGATCTTAACATAAAAATGCAGTCATAAAGATGTGAGTACCCAATCCACTACGTCCTTGATGATCCCCAGCCAGTAGTACTTGCTCTGGATCCTGTGGACGGTCTTCTTTTGGCCCAGGTGATGACCGATGTCATTGAAGTGGCAGTCGAGAAAAACCTGCCTCTTCCTCTCCGCCTCTATCACCACCTCCCTCTTCTCTTCTTTCTTTGGTCCCACATAGTACAGCTTTCCCTCTTGAATGTAGAAACGAATTAAAAGTGGGACATGCTGTGAATCACTTGTGTTATTCTGACTTGTGGAGAATGGAGACAACGTCCCACCATACTTAGTATTTACTGTTGTCTTGCTTGTCTTGATGGTAGACATACAGATACAACATGGTTTATCAGTTTGGCATTATTTACCAAACGCCACTTATCTTCAGAAAATGTGGTGTTTTATAAGTAGTTCGATTGTTATTCCTATAAATTATCTTCCAACAAAGCACAAGTTACCTGAACAAGTACTAGAGCCGTTTTATGAGTGCAGGTTTTAGTGAATCATTTCTACAGGCTCCTACAGATGCACTTGATACATTACGTTATGTCCTTGATTTGAAATTTGCAGGGTTTTTGAAAATGGAAGCGCGTGATGAAAGCATTCTCAGTGTTTTTAAGGTTTTTAAAATAAACCTTACCATCGATCATAAATTTCTGGGCGTATCTTTTTAGATTCTTCTTTCGTAAGGGATTCATCGTCTGAGGAAAGCAGCCTTTCGCCACAAAAGTGTAAATGTCACCGAGTTTATTGGAGCTGGATTCAACCACCTCCTCCTCAGCCACTTGCAACGACTCCACGCTTAACATTTCCGCTTTAGACTTTACAAAGCAGTACAATGCACAACGTCTGTATTCTCAATAAACAAAAAAAATATGCTAACTGCCAATCGGCATATTTAGCAGCAGTGCTAGCTAATCCTATTGAAGACAAATAGCAAATAATCCACAACAAAAACACTCGGAATGAAGCTACAAAGCTTATGCCTGTATTCGTTCTCTTCTTCTACGTTTGTATATATGTGTTTGATATCCATTTGTATAACTAGCGCCCCCTTTTGGACAACGACTGATACTTCCTGCCAGTCGATTAAAAAAATGTCTAGTTTTCAAGTTATATGGGAAATATCTTTCATTATGAATACTGCCACCGGACATTGGAATGTGTATCTTTTTGGAAAATGTTTTTGATTACCTGCCGTCAATCCCTCAAAAGTTGCCGTACTGTATTCATTAAATATAGTAAAATAGTAAAAATAGTGCGAGTCTGCCATCTAGTGGTCACAGTTTGTAAACGCAGCTGCCAGTTGTCAATACCAACATCAGTACAAGTACACGGAGGATACAAATATAAAGTCTAATGTTGATGGCTACTATATTTCTTCAGCAAAAAAAAAGGTGTGCAACGTTAGTCAATTTAAGTTTTGAGGAAATTACACTTTTATTATTAAAGACTTCGAACCGGAAGTGTTATGTGTGTGTGTTGCTGCTGTGTAACTAGCGTTAAAACATAATCAGCCGTGTAGCTTGTTAGTAAACAGTCTTGATGGTATTACTACGTTTATTACACGTCTGTGTGTTTGATTGAAGCGTTTCCTTTTTCAAACTGGTAGTAATGACAAACAAGGAAGACGGAAGTCGCAGGTTTTACACCTGTAACTGTTTCACCACTGATAATGTTTTCCTGGAGGACTACAAGCTCCATGTCCGCTTTTCCTCCGAGCAGCAGTTCCGACTGGACTACCAATCCGTGAGTGGATCTTAGTTACGTTTTTAAAACAAAAATATATATTTTGAGTGAAATGTCCGGTTTGTGAACTCTATTGTGTGTGTTGTTGTGTTTAATTATTGCTACCCAGATACTTCGGAGGCTTGGCTGCGTGACGGACCAACAGTTTGAAGATGTGCTCAACAAGGTGAGGAAGAGTGTCTGTGTGTCTGTTTGTGTGTTTAAGTGAGTAACAATACCAACAAACTTTTAATAAAGTACTGACATGATTTACATTTGGTTGGTTCGCTTCATTTTAGGTGTGAAATAAACCTCAAACATTTCACTAACTTTATTAACCCACATACATTTGAAACACGCCCCCACGGAGCTCCAACAATTAGATGAATTGATAAATTGATCAACGGAGAATTAATCTGAATATTTGATAATCCTTTTTTTGTGATGACACTCGATAATTGTTTGAGTTATTTTTCTAAATAAAATGCTCTAAATTCTCTAGTTTTTTGCTCTTCAATGTGAATATTTGTTTTCTTAACCTATTATCTCTGGCTTTACTGTTTACTGTTGGTCTTACAGAACAAGACAAGTTCAGGATTTAATGAGAATTAAAAAACAAACAAATATCAAAAATGTTTTTAACATTTTTAGATTACCAACACTGCCTTTAACTGTATGACTACTCTATTTAGATTTCACAGGAAGTGGACAGGCGGAGGCGTCTAAGTGTGACTTCTGCTGAGAGAGCCGTTGCTATTAAAGACATGTACCAGCCTCTTCATCCTCATGTCTACCATCTGCAGGTACTTTCTGCATCAGGCCACTGCTAATAGCATCATTAATAATGTGTTAACAACACCTTGCTGAGACACGCTTTGCACACCACCTCTCCTCAGGAGTCCTTCCTCGCACCAAAGTTCAAGCAGATTGTTGAGTGTTGTCGAAGCAGCAACATCAGTGAAGAAGGTCTCGGAGACATGTTGGAGGAAGAGGCAGGTTAGCTGGAGGGTGTTTTCATTTCCTCTCAGTTTTGGGTTAACATCAAAGAGTACCCATAATGCCATTCAGACACCTCATATTAGCGTACAAGGATGTATAAAACCTCTAAGAAGTGGACTTAAGAATGGTCGTAAACTTTGACTCAGGACAATGAGGACTGCTCTTATTTGTTTATATTGATTGCACCACATCATCCCAGTTAGATAACAATATATTGATGTACTAAAATGCCACATGGTGCATATTTAAGTAATTCCCGTCTTTCTGTTGAAGCTGCAAGGGTTTATCGCTTCCCTGTGTTTGAGAAACGCTTCTGTGAGGAGCTGATGGAGGAGCTGGAGCACTTTGAGCAGTCCTCCGCCCCTAAAGGAAGACCCAACACCATGAACCATTATGGGGTAATGTATGTGTTTCTACAGGCAGAAACCCCTGAAAAAGCACCAATTAACCTCACTCAGTCATTCACATTTCATCTTTATTCTGCCATGACATTTGGATCCTTGGCCTATCGTGGTCCCTCAGCCATGAAATAAGTAGAACTCTGTAAAACATGGGAGGTGTATTCCAAGCAGGTACTTGCAGGAACTTTGATAGATTGTCTAAATAAGTCACGGAAATTCAAAGGTCATTTCACAGTAACATTTAAATATTCATTATATCTTTTTTTTTAGCCAAGATGGAGTGCTGCAGCTGAAACCTTAAATTACGAAGATCTAAAATGTTGAAGCCACGAAAGAGGTCTAACTTAAAGATGTATGGTCGTAAGAAGGTCAGGAAATAAAACATGAGTTATATGTTCTAATTTTCTCTCTTCCAGATCCTCCTGAATGAACTGGGTTTTGACGAGGGCTTCATCACACCCTTCCGTGAGCTCTACCTGCATCCGCTCACCTCCCTGCTGTACCCGGACTGTGGGGGAGGCTGTCTGGACAGCCACAAGGCCTTTGTTGTTAAATATGACATGAATGAAGACCTGGACCTGAGCTACCATTACGACAATGCAGAGGTCACCCTTAATGTTTCCCTGGGCAGGGACTTCACCGAGGGCAACCTTTATTTTGGTGATATGAGACAGGTATAATACTATACTATGACACTATTACTACTGCTGCTGTTATTACTGCTATTAGCATACATACAACCACCCCTAGGTTATCTATGCTGAAGCTCTAAAAGGCAATTGAGAAAAATAAATTCTGGTTTTCAAGTCTGATCTTAATAGTTTTCTCTTCTGTGTTTATGATTTAAAAGCAGGTGAAGAAAGGTTTTGCAGGATAAACTTTATATGTTCCTTAAAAAAAATTGCTTATTGATTTCTCAATGCACTCTAAACACAAGTAGCATAATGATATTGTGTGTTAGCAAGTTATGTAAATTAAAAATCACCTGGAGCAAAACATGAATGCTTTTGGGGCATCTTGGCCTCTTGTGGCCAAAACGAGTATTACAACAACAAACACTTTAAAAGATTATACTGACCATCTTTCAACAGTGAGTTCTGAAAAGATTTTCCTGTAGTTGAGATTTTATTATGTCGCAAAAGTTCTTTTCTTCAATGCTTCTTTGTGTATTTTGAATCCTTTAGTTTTTTCTCTTAGAGGAATTGCCTTTAAGAAAAGGTTCATGTTTGGAAAGATCACAGGCGTATGTCCTACGGTAGTGACAAGTTGTGAACGTACTTTCTAAGATAAGAAAGCCTGAGTAAAGTTTTCTGGCAGTTTAGAGCTACTGTAATTGCATCTCATTAAAACTAAACAACCTAATATTTTAAATGTATTATAACAGCCGTAATGGTGAGACAATTTTTGATGTAATTTCCATACAAAACAGCTAAATCATGTCTAAAGTTAGCGGTTGTATCCCCCCTGCAGGTGCCTTTAAGTGAGATGGAGTGTTCAGAGGTTCAACACAGGGTGACCGAGGGCCTCCTCCACCGGGGCCAACACATGCACGGGGCCCTGCCCATCTCCTCTGGCCAACGCTGGAACCTCATCATCTGGATGAGAGCCTCACAGGAACGCAACGAACTGTGTCCCATGTGCAACCGGAGGCCAACGCTGGTGGAAGGGGAGGGCTTCGCTGACGGGTTCACCAAACACTCCGATGCTCCGCTGAACCCTTCATGTGTGTTGACGTGACGCTGCTATCAGCTTTTAATAAAGCCGCTGTAGGATTGGAAATTAGCCACTTTAAATTTCAAACGATTTTGAAAATGATTTCCGTTTGTCGTTGTAGAGTAAATGACACATTTTGAGTGTATTCCAATTTGTAATAATATTAATATTTATTATTTGTACTATTAATAATGGTAATGGTACTCAAATTCTATGTTTCGGATGTTTGGTGTAGAGTCCTATTGTGTGACTTTATTGTCTCAAATATTACTCCAATATTATCAAACCCCCGTCTTTATAAACAGTATGATTGTACTATATGTTGTGCCAAAGAATTAAAAATGAGGGATACACCACTCTGAATGTGTCTCTTTCATTACCAAATACCCCAAATCTGTACATGAGGCCAGGGATTGCTGAGGCATTCACAATGTTTTTAAGAGTAGGTCCCTGTTTTGTTTGTATCTGTACGAGAGTGTGGATACCCGACCCGGCTGGGTTCGGACAATTATTTACAATTGATGTTTGAGTTCGGCCTACTTTACACATTCACTGCTCCGTTTCCTTCAGCTTCATTTATGCTTGCAGTATCCGTGAGCGTCTGCAGGGCCAAAGTGACGTCACACCATAAAACACGGGTTACCGCGTGTCATTACATCCTAATCTGCACACACGAAGGTAAGGCAATGTGTGTGCAGGTTTCATGCTATTCCACTGGCTGTGACGAGCAAAGAAGCGTAGCAATGTTCCAGAAAGGCCAGCGAAGAAGAAGATCGCCGGCTAGCTAACATGGATGAAAACAATGGAGGATTTAAAACAACAAGAATGCACACAATGCATTTTGGAGAGAGACATTGAAAATAAACATTGTTTGTTTAGAAGCAAACTCCACCGGAAACCTTTAATTATGTGATATGGTGGATTAGTCACATGATCTGGCCGATGCCCGATCCACTTCATTAGGTTAATTTTGGCGCCAGAAGTCCAGAAGTCAACATTGATAATACAAACCGGTATAATGTGCTTGTTTTGTGCATATTTTTAATGGCTGGCTGTAATCATGTGTTTCCAATTTGATCAACTGTGTTTACTACTTTTGCAAAATTTGGTAGATCAGGAAGAATAGAAGTGAACACACTTTTGTGATGATGTGTGTTTAAGCCCCTGTGTTCAACACAAGACAAACCACATGCTTTGGAGTAACTGCATTTTAATTACATTATATCTGTCAATTTTTTGTTATTGACATATGCATGGAGTGTTATGGTGGAAGTTAATTATGTTTTGATACAGAGTTTTCGAGAGTGAAAACACAAATATAAACCCGTACGATACATCATGCATAATAAATCGATCCTTTTCAACAACATCAGGAGTTTTTGGTTGTTTCTTTTTGTTCCAGGTTAATGTGCCAATTTGGAGTGTTGAACTGGCGGGAAACAGGGAAAGGAGAGTTGGTTCTCTGGGGTCAGAGGCACACTACAGCATATTCAAACAAACACAAATATGCAAATGCTACCATATAGTAAAAGACAGTAGACTTTACAACCTCATGGTCAATAGTTCTGTCACTAAAATGGTGCTTGTTTTCACATTTCCTGCCTCAAAATCACAGCCTGTACACACAGACTGATGATCGTACAATGAGTTTTGACATTGTACCAATTTCAAGATTAGTTTGGATTTGGAGCAACCACATTAATAGTACAATATCAACACCTAGCTAAATGTATAAAGATAAATATTTTCACATTCAATATATAATCCTATACAGCACATACAAATAAATAATTTCTCTGGTATTGTGGCCATTTACATTATACAAGTAAACAAATAAATGTTGTATTTAATATATTATTCAAAGCAAAATCTGTCAAAACTGCACCAATTTAAAAGCAGACGAAGCTAAACCTTAAACTTCTCAAACTGCATTGATTGGATCAGTCCCATTTCAGTCGGTCTGTTAAGGAGTCAGTTTGCTCACAGCCGCAAACCTTGTACTGTCGGTGGGGCAGCACTGGCTGCGTTGAGTAGTTTGCCCACACTGAGTCGTGCGTTGTTCTGTCAACAAGACGTAGAGTCTGAGCTTCATAATGTGGTCTCGCTGCTAATGTCCCGAGGGCGGTGGTGGTCGATGTCTGAGTCGTAGTCCGACTCCATCTCGATCTTGACCTGGGGCACCGGGCAGGCCATTCCTCGGCCCATAGGCATGGCCGGAGACGACGGGCAGGAGATCTTCAGGTGGAGGGTGATGCTGAGGAAGGGCAAGCTCCAGTTACCAAACACACCCACAGACAAAAGCAATGAGGGGCTGAAGGAGGAGAACGGGGAGGGTGGAGGAGCTCAGCCATGTGGCATCATGACTCCCACTACAAGAGCTCATGTCAGTGATAAACAGGAGAAACATGACTGATGAGTGAAATGAGCTGCTGTAGTGGTTGTCTGTGGCCACACCGCCTCATGGTTAAGACTGGGACTGGTGACTGGTAAAGGTAACTTTAATTAAGGCAGGGAAAGAATTTATACCGTGAACATGGGAATCCGTTTGTTGTGGCCCTTTGTAAACCTTACAAGAGAGACATGTTTAATATTGCAATGGAGCTGAGAGTATTTTAGTAGTCCATTTCTACCTTATGAACTTTATGTATACTGGAAACTGAGGAAGTTCTGATGCCAAAAGTAAATGGACCCTTATATTATCAAGACAATGTGATGTAAATAGTGATAAAATAAAAATGTAACCTACAGTACCTTGACTAAATGGCTACACTTTATTAAATGAGCAAATCCTGTTTTTTTTATATATAAATCTTCAATAGTTCAGAAAACAAAACTACAGATTTCCCTTTGAGTCTGACATCCAACAAGACTTTGAAGTTTCCCTCTAAGCAAATTTGTATTCAACCTTATACCATTTACACTATTTAAGTCAGTACATGTTGTAACATGACTGAATGCAGAACCTTATTTGAAAGCGGTATTTTTTTTGTTTTTTGTTTTATCAAAACAGATGGATTTTGGTGAAAGAAATGCATTTAAGGCAAGTATAAACGCATAAAAGAGAATCACATAGCAACATCTTCTTCATCTTAATCCACAGTTGACAACATCTTGCGAAACCAATTCAAATTAATCAATAATAAATTACACAGTCAAATCCAAACCATGCCTCTTTCTAAGCAATGCAGACATAAAGCACAATTTAGAAATTCTGAATCTCCCACAAAGGGAAAGAAACAGGGTCAAACTAGGCCTAAGTATTTGTGGTTAAATGTTCAGCTGATTGAGAAAAAGTTACCAGAAACAGCCTCACCAGCTGCTTTTTCAATGCAAACATCTCCATTGAAACTGCTGCAAAGTGAGGGTCAGGCTACATTTCACATGCAGGTGTGAGCGTCACAGACTGATTTGCGAAAGTGATTCATCACATGGAGGAAAAAGAAACAACCAAAACAATGATGCTTGCTGCATGTTGATAATTATACATTTGTAGACAAACTAAATCCTTTCCATGTACTATACAACAGGCTTAATATACCACACATTATTTTTATTCATCTAATTCAATTTCATATATATGTGAATCCAAACAAAGGACCCTGACCAATGGCTTTGTGACACAGAGCAAACTATACTTAACCTCAAAGTCACTGCCTTTCAGAAAACTTCAAAACTAACAACACACATCAATGAAGAATTACAAAATGCTGAGTTGTATAGCGCAGTGCACATACTGTAAGCCATGTGGCTTTGGCACATGACACAGGAAGAGTAGCAGCAGGAGTATGCAGTTAATATATAATCATGTAATATATATAATAACATCACAACGATCTGCATTGCCTTAAAGTGCATGGAGAGGAGACTGAGCTCAAACATGACAATGAGGGGAAACTGGACTATGATACATATGTTACGTGTAAATAATCTGTAAAAGCAAATGTCTGCCAACAAAAGTGACAATTTTCTAAATTCATATTTATTCTTAAAACCAGACAAAGAATGAATGAAGGAGTATGAAAGTAACAAGGGCATTGAATTATTAGATGGCTTGTCATAAAATAATTGATTAATTTGGAAGTAAATAACAACTGGAGATTGCTGCTACACTCACGTACGACACTCGTCACACTGAAGCATCCCTTTAACCATGGTAATGTACTTAAATCATCAGTGGTCTGATTGCTCTTTTATTGCCATGCCCGCTGCCACACTGCTCACTTGAAACCTCACTTCAACCCCGGCATCCACCTGTAGGCTCTAAAGTCCTCCCCCCGGAGGAGGGGAGGGGGGTTATTATCGCTGGCCTCCTCCTCGCCTGGTGTTTCCTTGTGGTAAGTGATTAAGTCAGAGCCTAGACGCTAAATATCCAGACATATTATACATTCACATAATATTCTACTTGGTTGACTGAGATATAACTAAAACTAGATTTACTATGTACCTTTTTTCTTTTTGGAATTTGTGTGAACTGACCCTTTAATCTGTGCACATTTACTGTGTATGACAAACTTTTCCCATGCACACGTGTGTGTGTGTGTGTGTGTGTGTGTGTGTGTGTGCGTGTGTGTGTGTGTGTGTGTGTGTGTTAAAGACCACTGTGTGTCGCAGCACCCTGGCAGTACGCTCCCCACTGAGACTGTGCAACATCAGGAGAGACTAGATCTTTGTAGGGGATGTGCAGTTTAAGGACACAGTACCTGCGATCCAAGTCTGAATCTGGGCTGGCTGAGTGGTTGGAGTAGACGTGACACTTGTCCTGCAAACACAAACACACAATAGAGAGCCAAATCATCAGAAACTTGTGTCGTGATCCAGCTTTTACTGCAGGGGGCAGCAGAAGCTCTTGTTCCTCACCTCCTCCTCACTGTCGTCTGGTTTGGACTTCTTCTTCTCCTTGTCCTTCTCCTTCCCCTTCCCCTTCTTCTTATCGTCATGCTTCTTCTTCTTCTTCTCTTTCCCAGGAAGGAGGTCGTCTAGCCAAGCCAGGTCGTGCTGGGAGAAGACCATGTCCAGCATTTTTCGGACGACCAACAGACCCAGAATCTGAAGGGTTCAACACAGAGATACACTTGAGACACAAGCCTAATTTGAACTCCCATCAACATTCATCTCACATCCAAGTTATGGTCTGATTATGATTTAGCTGGATGGCATTTGTAGATGACATTAACATGTATCACTGGTACACACAGTGCAATCAGATCACTTCCTCTTAATGATAGTTAACAGTTAGACTCTTTTAAAAGTGACATGATGCCTCTGTTATGTCTCTTTACATTCACTAACATCCAAACAATACATTTTGAAATGGATATATTATTTGAAGTTAGATCTTTACCTCCGTGGGCCTCTCGTCCTCCACCCAAGATACAACAACACAGGATTTATCGAATGCTGTGCTTACAACTGTGA